ATCGGCGCTCGTGGTACCACTTGTTAGAAGAGGGAAAGGATATATAACAGGGGTTGAATAGATCGCCAATAAAAAATTTCTTATTAAAAATTCTGCTTTGAAAATATTTCCTATGGCAAGCGGAAGCAAATTGGGATCGACACTTGTCTATCCGAACTATTATTGAAAGAATCGGATATGCGTATAAACCGTAGTAAATTTATCCTAAATATGATAAAGGAAAATCAGTATGTTTGAATTAAATTACACAAAGATAAATAATTTCCAATGAAACACAACAATAAACTTGACTCAGAAAATTTGTCGAACACTTAGTATGCAACAAATTTATCAAACACTTGGTGTAAAATACACCAAGCTTATTCCTCTTTATATTGAAGGTATGAAAAACCAATTGCAATTGTTGAGATTGCAATGGTCTACAAAAACAATTTAAGATATTTCAACATAACCAGAACTTTTAGCAAATCAAATTTTATATATATATATATATATATATATATATATATATATATATATATATATATATATATATATATATATATATATATATATATATATATATATATATATATATATATATATATATATATATATATATATATATATATATATATATATATAGATAGATAGATAGATAGATAGATAGAGAGAGAGAGAGAGAGAGAGAGAGAACACCAAGATTTGTTTAGGCAGTTTCTCAATTATCCTCAATTCAAAATGAAATTGAGATATGTAATTAACCTTTGCAAGAGTATTTTACAAGAGAAGTAGTGGAAATTCAAAACTTCAAACCGTATGTTTGATGTTGATCCTAACTTCTTCTCTTCCCTTGATCTTAGATAGATCAAGTCACACAAGACTTCTAATTGATCATCCAGTTACTGCTACTCCTTTAAACGAAAATTCGTTCTTCAAATCTTTCACTTAACTGCATCCAAATTGCAAAATCTTGCCTAAGTCTTTCAATTGATCCTCAGGCTATCACTACTTCTTTGACAGAACCCCCGTTCTTCAAAGCTTTCACTCGGATGAATCCAAGTTGCAAAGACTTGTGCAAAAACCCCCAATTGATCTTATCAATGAAACCCACAAAGAAAAAATAACCCAATATGATTTACAACAACATAAATTGGACCTTATCAATCTTATCTTGATGACACTCAACAAAAATGATTATGTGTAGTTGTTGAATGTATGCAAAGAAAGGTTGAAGATAATGAGAAAGTTCAAAGTGTGTTTTTGGTTTTAATATTGACAAATGATGGATGAATGCATATTTATATGTGTATGTGTGTGTAAAGAAAATAACAAACAAAATAGAATATTTTTAGCCAAAAATACAAGTTTTAAAATGAGTCAATACATGTATTGGCTTCAAACATGATGTATTGACTCCAATTTCGTATGAGTTAATACTAAAGGCTTGGAGTATATACAAACCCCCGATGGGAGGATACATTAAGGTCATAAAAATATGCTTTAAAAATTGCTTCAGTAAGTGTCGACTTCAATTCAGGATGAGTCGACTCAATCAAAAATTGTATTGACTCATAGATGCTTTGTATCGATACATAAAAGGCATGGACATTATTCTAAAAATTTCTTTAAGTTGGATTCGATTCCAATACAAGATGAGTCTAGTGATTCGCAACATGTATCGACTCAAGATGCCTTTGTATCGATACATATGAGGTAGGGATGAGCAAATTCATGTTCCTTTAAAAAAGCATATTCATCATTAAGAGCGATTACATCATTAAGAGCGTGAAGGTTTCCTTAAATCTTCCTTAATATGCAAAACATGGTTCCATAGAGCCACTGCGGAGCGCCATCTCAATGGAAAATGTCACTTAACCCATAAGGTTACCACATATAGTTCATTTTTGTAGGTGGACATCACTCATTCCTATATGAACATTCCCTGCTTCATGATTGATATCAATGACTCGGGGGCAATTGTTTTGGTTTGGTAAAATGCCAACAAAGAATGTCCCATTCCATATAGGTTCAATTCTCCTTAAGAATTCACCACGATGCCTCATAGGTAGACCTGCAACATGCATCACCACAAAAGAGAACACCTCCTATTTGATTAGAGTCATTGATTTTTATATAATGGCTACTTGTGCTTTACATTAGAAAACCTGGAAAAAAATTATAATCGTCTTTCATACATAAATGTGACCCTGAGTCGCACTTACAATTCAATTCATATTTGCAAACTATTACAACTCAATCTTATACTGACTTAAGCGTCAAAGTGATTAATTTTTTCTGTAAGTACCCTTTCTGGTCATTGAAAAATTGTCACCACTACACCATAAGCACAATTCTGGTGGTTTTCATCAAAAATATCAACTATTCGTTGTTCCATTACAAATACTACCAAAAGTAGGTTTTATTGGTTGTGATATATGCGCCTGGATTTTGATTTTAACAATCACTCGAATTGGATATTGAAGCTACTTCTTGTAATAAGTGTTTATTTTTTATTTGACAAGTTTGCTATCACTTTTCCAACTATGTCTCTCATGCAACATCTAGGTGTTAATATTTATCCTACACGTCTTTATTCTGCAGAAAATATCAAAACTATTATCCACTACTTACTACTTTTTCCACGAGCTGTGTCCATTGATGTGGGTGTGCGTTTCCAAATATATATAAATAATTTCTTGAATTTGATAATATGAACTTAAAATCTATTCATAATATAGCCATTAAGGGAGCTATCATAACTAATTTGATTATCTAGAACTCATAGTGTACCAAAACAATTGTCTTTGAAGAAACACATTCAACAATAATATCTATGATTGTTTCAGCATTTGATAATTGAAACTTCTCTTCCTCCTCTCCGTACAATCGAAACTCAAATGTTAAGCATATGAGCAGGGATGACAATTTGACCCATTTCTAGTGGGTATCCATAAAAATACCCACAATAGGTAGGGTAAAAACTCGCAAAACTGGGTACGGGTACGAGCTAGGATAATTGCTCATTTAAATAAGCAGGTATTGGTGTGGGTATGGACACCTTAGTACCCACCCACCCTATATCTCCATAATATATTTATTTATATTTTTTTAATTTATATTATTATATAGAAATAAATGTCTATCAATTTTTAAGAATACATCAATGTTAAACCATTACATATTTAATGATCTTGAAAATATAAAATGATATGATATTTTATACTTAATATATTTATTTTTATTAGAAATGCGGATAACAGGTACGGGTATGGGTACTTACATACCTAGAGGGCACATATATGAGTGCTAACGTTGGTACTCAAGCGAGTATGAGTTCGGGTACGAGGTTTTTTTTCAAACTACGGGTATGGAGATGAGTACTATAGTACCTTGCACATACCCTGTCCATTACCATCCTTACATATGAGTAGGGATAAAAATTGTACCCATTCTCAGTGGGTACCCGCAAAATTTTCCCACAACAGGTAGGGCAAAAACTCGCAAAATGGGTATGGACACGGGCACAAGCAATTACTCACTAAAATAAGCGGGTATTGGTATCATAGTACCCAGCCTGCCCCATACCCGCACGGTATATATTTATATATTTAAATTTTCATTATTATGTACATGTGTTAATCTAACAATTTTATTAAATACATCACTATTAAATTTTTAAGCATTTTAATATAAATATTTGTTTATTTCTTAACTTAACAATAACATTCTCAAGTATTTTAAATGTTATTAAAAAGTTAAAATAATACGATAAATTATAATTGATCGATCATTTTTTTATTAGAAATGCTAGTAAGTGGATATGTATATGAGTATTTAGATACACATAAGATACGAGTACGGCTACGAACGTTGGTGTCTATATGGATATAAATTCGAGTACGAATTTTTTTTTAATTGCAGATTTGAGGATGAGTATTATAGTATCCTACGCAAACCCTGCTCATTGTTATTCCTACATATTGAAAAAAAAATTAATTTAAGGCCTGAAGTTGGTAAAATATTTAATTATTAAATACATTAAAATGAAAGCCAATATAGATTTGCCAAACTACTATCAATATTGAGAATTATGAATGAAATGAAGATTAAATGTATATTAATACTTTCTAGTAAAATGCTACATTTAAATATTTACTTACTTAATTTATTTATTAGGTCAATGTAGAACTACTTTAGAATGAAACAATCCTAATTAATTAAGTAAATCCAAATCATCTTTATTTAAACTTTAACTATCTATAGAATGACCTCCAAATTAACCAAGTACTAACTAAGAACAAAAAATCACATTTTTCTCCTACTAATCTATCATTCTAGCATTCTAAGTATTTTGCCTCTTCACAAGCTATAGTAGAGTTGTGTTCATAGATTGTATTTTTAGTGTATAGTAGTTGTGTGTTTGTTGAGTCTAGCTGGTCTTGTTTCTTCCTCTACTTTTTTTAGTACTCCTTATACTCCTAACTAATCTTCTTCTTCTTCTGGTTTGTTAAATAATTTTCATGTCAACTAATATGTTTTCAATAAACTTTTGATTCAAAATCTGCATCAAGTTTCTTCAATGGAATCAGCTAAAGAAAACATCACAGGATAATATGAACAATACTCCACATATATAGCATAACAAAAAAAATTAAAAAGGTTGAAGAATCAAACATAAAAGCACTAATACATTCATATATATGAAAAAGTAATAATAATAATAATAATATTTATAACATATCCAAGCAACATAATGAAAATTAAAATCATAATTTAATTGACTTACATATAATGTTTTCCTCTGTACATTGCTTTAATGTATGTATACAAACACCTCTTTCCTCCATCAACTCTAGCTTGCAAAGATAAAGTGTAAATAGAGGGAGTTTTTTTGAAAAAAAAAATATTTTTAATTATATCAATATATTATATAATAAAAGGTAATATATATGGATTGATTATACTATATAATCTATACATAGAGACATATATATTTATATATGTATAGATATATTAATTTACGGTGGATTTATGAAGAGCTCTGAGGCAGTAACAAGACATCTCATAACTTCAACTTGAGCTTTCAAAGATTGTATATAATCTAGGGTTTCATCAACCAAACAAGCATCATCCATGAATTTTCCACCTGGTAACAAACTCTTGAGTGTTCTTGTTCTTTTCTTAACCAGTTTCGTCGCGATAAAACTTGCGTCGACTCGTTCCTTCCTGCGGTTTCTTCTCGAGATCTTTCTGCTTCCAATTATCGTTTTTCGATAAAGACGACACGATTTCGTCAAGTTTTTCTTTGTTGTCTTCTTCTTTTGTGGTGATGTTGATATGTCTTGTTCATCTATGCTTGTTGAAGTGTTGGCAATAAAGGATTTTCTCCAAAGGGTAGTTTTGTCTTTAGTGGAAGCCATGGCTAAATCTGCAGAAAGCTTTATGGCTTTCTTTCTCTCCAACAAGTTCATGTTCTTCTTTTGAGAGTTGTATTTTTTTAGACCCTTTATCCATTTTTTTAGGAATTCTTGCTTGAGTGAACTCAAATTTCGCATTCTATAAAAGAAAATATGTAGGTTAAGTTTCAACAAGAGGTTAATAACACATACATATATGATATATAAAAATTATATAACATGCTAGGGCTTAACTTAACTATATTCTAGTTCTAGCCAAGTTTTTTTTCTGCAACAAAACGGTATTAAAAAATATCGATACTAATACTATTATTCGATACTAATAGTATTATTCACCATTTTAATTTACATTGCAACCGACAGACAAGAGTGATTAATATCACAACATCTGTATCGATCATAAAAACATAATATAAATTGAAACATACCTTAGTGAAAAGATGGAGAGAAATAATGAGTGAGGTTTGATGAGAGAAATGGAAGCAAAGTGGAAAATGAGAAGATGATGAATAAATGTGAGGGGAAGAATTTAAGTGCTTGAAAGAAGAGAGTGGTGGGGCTTTGAGAGAGAGACATATGCACATGCTGGCACATGGAAACACTGGCCCACTACCTAAAACTAAATAGAGAATAATAATATTAGATTGTAAAGAAAACAATGAGATTAGATTAGTGGGTAAAGAAGAAGAATAAAGGTGACCTTAATCTAATGCAAACCTAACATCAAGTATCTTTGTTTAGAATACAAACAAAATTCACTAAATACGATTCACTTAGAAACAATGTGTACTTATGGCCCGCGAGTGGAACTTCGTGAGAGAAAGATTAGTACATTGCACCATACTAATCTTTTAAAATTAGGAAATCAATAAATTATGATTAATTAAATTAATAAATATTTTACAACTTTTTCTATGGAATATCAAAAATGTTTAGTCAAGTTATTAGGTCAAACTTTTATCCCTATGGTGAAACATCTTCATAAATAACAATATTGTACTGAATTAATTATATGAATATAAATATTTTTTAATAGTAAATAAAAAACTATATATTATTATAAAAAGGGTATAGAAATTACGAAATTATCAAAAAATATTATATATTATTATTAAAAAAAATTATAGAAATTAAAAAAGCATCGAAGAATATAAAAACTGTGAAGAACGACAAATAGGGTTAACCCTAGATTGAAAACAAATATAAAAAAAAACAACAAAACCATAACAAAAAAAACTTACGTAGACTATCTCGTGAATTCTCAAACATGATAGATTTTTGGAATAAGTTGGAGGAAGGTAGACACGAACACTTGCATTAAACAAAAGGATGGTAATTAGTCACCCCGCACACCCCTAACTACACAACCACTTAGGTGGGTTTCACTCCAAGTCAACTTAGAGAAACGACAAGACACAAAGCATGGGCATGAGCCCACTTCCACACCAAGCTAATAACCATAGACATCCAGTGATTATTCGCCATGCTTTCTCGACAAAAACTAACTTTCTTTCGCATTTTCCAAATAGTTCAAACCACTTAATGACAGATTAAGACCAAGCCTAAAGACGTCTATTTCCCATGACCAAAACCTTGAAACAAATCAAAACCTCTAAAATCAAGTGAGGCATAGTGTTGCACCCCAAAATTTGCCTAACCTTTTCTTACTTGGTTTATGTTTCATTGCATTGTTCTAGCATTGGCATAGCATAGCATTATTCATTTAGCAAGGGATCAAGTGTAGTTTATATCAAGAGGAGCCTATCTAGAGGTTTTATTCAAGCTTGAGAGGTCACCCAAGTCATCAGGAAGAGGGTTGTGTTCTTGAGAAGTGTGGTTGTTTGTATGGGGTTCATCTCCTAATCTGAGGACCAATTGAAGACCATCAGTGGGTTGTGAGGCCTTGATCATGGATAGAGTGTGGATAGAGCTCATGGAGTGCCTTGAGGATCATGAGTGAGGATCATAACCTAATTCTAAGTCTTGGTGTTCATGTAAAGTTGTGTTGAGACACATGAGGTGGTATTCCAAGATCAATGCAAGAAGAGTTCAAAGTGTGAGGAGTTGCTAAACTAGGGTTCTCAGGGTAAAATCCCCTATTTAGTGCCTAATCTCAAGACAACTTATCTCAATATACAAGTTTCATTCCAACTTTTGGCTAACATGAAACTTGTAGAGCTTTCTCTTAGCTTTAATTTGAGTACTAGAAGTCCTCCATTGGATTTATAGAACTCAAGTTATGATCCAGACAAGTTACAGGTCATCTGAGGAATGTGAAATTTGTCTGCAAACGTCAACCAACTTCTAAGGCACTTTTGACCTAGAAGGATGTTTCTCCTTAACTTTTGGCCAAAATGAAAGTTGTAGTTATTGAGCTTAGCTTTCTAAATTGTACTAGAAGTCTTCCATCGGATTTGTAAAACTCAAGTTATGAGGTTTACAAGTTAGGGGTATTTTGGGAAAGTAAGATTATAGATCATTAGGCATTATAGGTCATTTTCACTATCTTGCAAGCTTCAAATGAAGTTTTGTCCAACACAGAACTTGCTCAAAATGATGTTTTAAGGCTAACCATGTGTTCATAAGGCTTTGATTTGGCTTAGGGTGAGATTTGGTTTGAAGGAGATTGACAAAAGGGGGAATTAAAAGGCATTTATGTGAAAAATTCAAAATTAATTCATGTGTGTTCAAACAAGACCAAATGTGTGCTCATTTTAATCAGAAAAATCATTTTGAACATGATGGCAATATTAGAAATTTCATTTGAGGCATATTTCATAGCATTTCAACTTGTTACTTCTTAAATAAGTAACACATCAAAAGTTGGTCATGTGATGCAAACAAGGGCTTAATTGGATCTCTACACTCTCCACAGTTAACAAGCAAGGGAACTGAAGTTTCTTGGAGAAGTTTTGAGCTCAGAACCGTGTTTCCCATTGTTGAGTTTTTGAAGAAGAAGTGAAAATTGGATCTCACTGATTGGGCCTCCAATGGGCCTCCAAATCACCCAAACTCACTCTATATAAGTTCAAAGGAAGATTCAGATCAAGTTTGGTGTTCATTTCGTGCTAGAACCAGAGAATGCAAGTTGAATTTTCAAGCTCCAAGTGCAAATCGTGATTTCAATTCTAGTGTGATTCAAGGCAAATTGAGGATTGAATCATCTTCAGCATCAATCATAGAGTGAATCTGCACAGTTTGAAGCTAAGGATCATGCCCTAACTGTTCCAATTTGAAGCTTCAACTCAGGTTTGTAACTTTCAAAATTGTTGTAGATTCATGATGATCTAGCATGTTTTAGCATGAGGATAAGGTTTAGGAAGATTATTAGATGGATTTTGGATCAAAAATTGAAGGTTTAGAGACAAATTAAGATGCAACATGATTTCTGTTTGGATGCGAATTGGTCTGATTATTGAGAGTTAACATGATCTAAATAGTGTAGGATGATCTATGAAACATGAGGAATTGATCTATGGCTTTGGATTGAGGATTGGTGACACTTGAGGATTTGGTGTAATTTCTGTTTGCTATCGTGTTTCAAAATCCATGAGGAATTAGGAGAAATGGACATGATATTTGGAATCTACGTGAAAATTGGAGTGGAATGATGTAGATTTTGTTAAGGTTCCTTGACCTGTAACTGATGGCTCGCCGGAGAAGACGGTGGCTCAGCAACCGGAGCCACCGTCTGGTTCACCTGAGTTTCTTTCCCTCCATCTGAATTTGAAAGGTAGAAGACGATCTCCCCACCCTTGGATCAATGGAAATGTTTGACAAAGTCTCCCAATCCAATGCTCATGTTTTAACCTGAGAATTGACTTTGGACTGAATGAAACGCATCGTTTCATTTATGCGCTGGCAGCATATGGGCCTTCAGATGGATTGACCAAGTCACTTGATCCTACGCCCCTGACTTAATTCTGGCATTTTATTTTTTTTAATTGTTTTTTAATTCATTTTCTTTTTATTTTAATTGCTTTATTCTTTTAAAATTCATAGTAAATTCAATTTTGGTCAGAAAAATATGATAAAAATATATGCATGATTTAGATTTTATTCTTGATTTTATGATGCTTTTACATTTTATTTTAATGCAATTTTCAATTTAATGTGATTTTTTGCATTTTTATTAATTGTTTAATTTGGCTTATTTCTTCATGTTTTTGCTGAATTTTGATTGGTTGTTTGGTATAGAATTTAGGGCTGAATTTTGGCTTGCTGGTAGATTAGAGATGCATGATCCCTTAGGATTTAATTCATATTTTTTAGATAACAATAGGTTATGTTTAGGACTAGTTCCCTTGACCTCCCATTTGTAGGGCTTCTTTTGACCTCTTTGGGTTTTAGGATTTCTTTAAGTGCTTTCCCTTTAGATTAAGACTCTGATCCTTTGCCCACAGATCAATAACATGTTTAGGACCCCTTAGAAAATTTGGTAGAATTTTAGAAGGTGTTTTAGGATTTTAAGTAGATTTAACATTTAAGGTGTTGATTAGGGTGCTTCTAGTGTAGCTTTTCCCTTAGTTGAATCTCAAAGGTGGATTTTAGTGCAAATAAGCTTCTAAATCTCTTGTGGTGGTTCATTAGACATATTGAGGTTTCTTTAGCTTGAATACCTAGGCTTGAATTGGTGTTTTAACCTTCTTTTGGTGGCTTTCTTGTAGCTTGTTTAATTAGGGTTTAGGAAGAGCCTAGTTTGCTTTCTCTTTCTTCAAATAAACATGGATTGCCTTGATTGCTTTCCATCCTCATCCTATGATTCAAGGTCCCTATGTGGGAGCCTCATCTTTCCTTTGGAAGGACGTGTGGCATTTCACAAGAGGTAGAACCTTTGAGGATGCCTATCTCAGATGTATGGTTGAGTGCCAGGATGGATTCCCTTGGTTTCCATCCTGCTACCCATCATCAATCAATAATCTTGATGTCAACTCTCTTCTCTCTTGTTGGATCTTGTTGAAGCATGAAGATGAGGACTTCTCTTGAAGATGGATTGGACTTGAATCTGGTTGCAGACTGTTGTTTGTTTTGCTGTTTATCTGCTTTGCTGTTGAGCTGTTTGTCTACTGTATTTTCTGACTGCTTGACTGTTGCTTGTGTGACTGCTTGGTATGTTGCATTAGACTAGGCTTCATGTA